TTTTTTAGTTTTTTTCTTTTTCTCTTCTTTGTTTTCTCCCCTTCCCGTTCGTTTTGCTTCCACATGCAGTGGCCCTAAGGGCCTCTACACAGCACACACAAAACATATGGCAGCGTATTATTCCATGTTCTGCAGAAGATTCATTCTAGTTTTGCACATTTGGTGAGTAGTGCAGCAGCCAAGCCCTGAGAATCACGTGTAGACTGCGAAGAGACCAACACGGACATGAGCAACCCATAACTCTTGAAACACAGACCTGAACTTGAATCCTGAGGATATATTCGGCCAGCTCGTGCTCTTCATCATACTGACTGCGTGCCTCGATTTTGAGGGAGGGTCTGCACTTAGTGCTGCGAGGACCCTCTAGATAGCATGCATGGGCCGTCTGAACCCTGTTAGGGGAATTTCTCCATCGGCCCCCCGATAAAAAAAAAAAGGATCTTTCATATGGCAAGGGGTGATGCGGTAGTGGGGGTGGGCCTCCGTTTTTTTTTTTTTTGGCACTTTTGGGGTTTGTTGAACGAGGTCCACCACCCCATAGTCCGCGATGCGCGCATGCGCTCCCCGAGGCCGCGTTTAATTTTTTTGTGCCACGTGGCGCGCAGCGCGTTTGAACGCAATTGAACGCGGCCCCGGGGGTTATGAACGCGCGCGTTTGAACGAGTACGCGCGTTCGGCGCGTTCAACCGGTTACACAGCATTGCCTCAAGACCTTTCAAGCTTACCTCTTCGGGAGGAGGTTTATCCTGATGATAGACCTTACCAATGTCGTCGAGGCCCTGAAGAACTATAAGCCTATAGACCCGACTGTTGGAAGATGGGTAGGATTTATTTGACAGTTCGACTATAAGATTGAGCGCATAGCCGGCCTTAGGAATCGAGCAGACGGATTGAGCAGGGTGGCCCTCACACCCGAAGGGCTAGAAGAGGCAGAGCCGATCGACGCGTTCCTCGACTACGAGGGCGGGACGCTGGTAGTAGACAGCGAGATGGCCGGAACCACTTGCACAACTGGGGAGCTATTGATCAAAGCACTCAAAAAGGGGTCTCCGACAGTGGTTGCCGAGTTAAGGGAAGGTACGGTCACCAGAGTTAGAAGGAGGGAAGGGAAGGACGCTTGGGGCAGTGTTGTGAAGCCCCGAGATGAACAAATCGCACTAGTCGTTGAGGGAGGCTGGAGAAGGGTTATGAGCATAATGGAGTCTCAAGAGCTGGAGATGCAGCACTATCAGGCCTATCAGGTGGATAATAATCAGACAGGTACTCAGGAAGAAGAGCAGTTTTTCCTCATCAAGTCATATGAAGGTTTGTTCAGAGAAATTGGGTTGCTACTGGTGGGGAACAAGGAACCCCATGAGGTTAGTCCTAAAGCTAGGGAGGAAGCGGATAGGTATGTGCTTAGAAGGGGGCACCTATTCCGAAAGGAGGAAGGTCTGACGCCCAGGAGAGTAGTCTGTGGAAGGATGCGACAACTCGACATTATTCAGGCCATGCATGACGGATTGGTCAGTGGCCATCGCTCATCCAAAGGGACCCTAGCCAAGATAACGCCACTCTATTATTGGCCGGGAATGGCATCTATGGTAGCCACGTACTGCCAGACCTGCAAAATCTGCCAGGAACGAAGCACGGTCCGCATTTTCGAGCCACTTAGACCCACCCGCGTGCTGGGGCCATGGCATATGGTACATCTCGACCTGGCAGTCATGCCGGTTTCCAGAAAAGGGTACAGGTACATACTTGATGCAAGGGATAACCTTAGTGGGTTTGTCGAGGCAACCGCGTTCAAGAAAAAAACTGGGTTTGCAGTTGCAAGCTGGGTGGATGACTTTTATCTGATGCACCCGTTCATCAAGAGATTCATAGCCGACAATGGGATTGAGTTTGTAAACCAGGACGTCATGAATACCTGCAAGAGGCTTGGCGTACCGATCAAATTGACAAAACCATACCACCCTGAGGCCAACGCGCCAATCGAGCGAGGGCACCAAAGGCTTAAGAACACGATTGCAAAGTTGGCAAAAGATGACCTTGGGAACTGGTCGGACTATCTCAGACACGCAGCATTTGCCGAGAATATGACACCAAAAAGGATGACGGGATGCATCCCGGCAAAGCTATGGTATGGCAGTGAGATTGACTTTCCGGTAGAAGCCCTAGTACCCACCTGGAACAAATTGGAAGATGACCCTCATCTGACTACGGAATAATTGATTGAGGCAAGGTGTGAACAAGCGGCCAGGAACGAGGAGGCCTTGGAAGAAATAGCTCACAAGGTACTAGACAGTCGCATGAAGGACAAAACCAGGTAGGACCAGTTGAAGAACATCCGGAAGGAGCCTCTGCAGGTCGGGGAGATGGTCCTAGTCAGAAATTCGACACTAGAAACTACATGGTCAGGCCAGTTGGGGCGGCGATTCAAGGGACCTTACCGTATTGCAAGAAAGTTGGGTGT